AGGATCTGCAGGGCCACCTCCACTGTTCCTGTGTCCCTGGGAGAGCTGGCACGTTTTGGAGGGCTGGTGGCATCCCAGAGAGACCTCGTGCCGAGGCCTTAGGCACAGGCTCTTCCATCCCACAGTGACCTGCAGGACCTGGTGATGCCACTGCTGTGGCTTATCTCCAACACTGCTGGGGTTTCCCATAAAGGTCTGGAGCTACAGGGTGGTGGGTACAGCTCCTGCTTTGTTAAAAAAAGGTGGTAAGCTGCCAAAAGCTCGTTGTGTCCTCCAAGAACAGCCAACAGGAAGAGGCCACAGGCAGAGCCAAGCACTGGTTATTCTTTACAACCAGGTAATTTTGAAGATGAGGGTCTCCCTCCTTGCCCCACAGCATCTCTCCTTGTTCCTGCTGTGGTTTGATGCTCACCACCCCACCGGCTGCCTTCATTCTCCCACATCTCCACCTAAAACCACCAGCTATCTTCAAAGCCTTGGGGACAGTCAAGGTCAGCCCCAAGGTCTGGAGGCAACTCATGGGCTGGGGTTTGCTGGGACAGTGGGAGACAGGCAAGGACACCCAGAAATCCCAGTGGGCAGGGGTTGGGACAGTCACTGTGGGATGTGTCCCCGTTGTGCTCTCCTACCTTGGACCCTACTGCCTACGTCCTCCAAGGAAATCTTCAGGTTCTGCGGATCATTCATGGTTGTTTTCTCCAGAAAGTTTCTGACCTTCACAAAAGTCTGTGAAAGACACTCTGGGTTAACTGCTGAAGGGAGGGTGGGTGTTACAACCCAACGGGTGCCCCACCTTGATGTCCCCCTGAGGAGGACACCCCACAGTGCCCAGTGCCACCTGGGGCTGAGCTGGCTCCACAGCTCTTTCCTGGGGCCACCTCTATCCTCCCAGCTGGGAGGACAGCTTGGGATGGGCCATCCAGGAGAGCCCCCTGTGGGTCCCCAAGGACCACAGCAGGGATGGAAGCCAAGTGCACCTTGTTGTCCTCATCAGGGCTGTGCCAGTCGGGGGGCAGGTCGGTCATCCGCTGCATCAGGTACTGCAGCTTCTGCTGACAGTGCTGGAGCTTCTCCTCCATCGTCCTGGCCTTGACAGAATCATGCTGGAGTCAGAGAGAGAGAACAACAACCTTGGTGAGGAGAATGAGCCACTTGGAGTGATGGTGGCTGCACCAAGCGTCACCACGTCGTGCCGTTGCACCACCAAGCACTGGCCAGGGCCGTGGCCACCCCAGCACCACGCGGGTACCTGGCCAGGTATGGTGATGCCATGCAGACGGACAAAGAGGTTGTTGATGCCGTTTTCAAACTCAAGCACGAGTTCCTGGTTCCTCAGCATCTGGGATCGCATCTGCTCCCTCCGAGCCTCTTCCCTCTGCAGGTTCATCCTCAGCTCCTCCTCCAGAATCCTGGAGCCAACCACATTCACATCCATACAACTGCCTAAGGGTGCAGGGACACCCCAAATCTGTTCCTAAAGCTGCTCAGGTTGCCCCCACCCCAACTGCAGAGCAGAGAAGCTGCCTCCAACCCAGCTCCATGCTGGTGCCCCTTCCCATGTCAGGCAAGGAGCAAGGGTTCTCCTGCTCCCACAGCAGGAGCTTTGGGTGCTCTGCCAGGACCAGAGCTGGGGGAGCACCCTGCCCAGAAAACCTCCTGGTGCAGGAAGGGTGGTAGCTGCAGGGAGATGGAGGAAGGGGTGTCCCATTGGGACACCCATGTTGGATGTGTCCTCTCCAAGGGTGGTGGCCTGGGTGACACAGATGTCCCAAGGTCAGCAGCACCTGTTTGTGTTGGGGCGCCAGCGAAACTTCAGCTCAGCCTGCTCCAGCTCCAGTTCCTTCAGCATCTCCTTCAGCCTCTCCTTCTTCTCCTTGCGCTCCTTGACATACTGCTCCAGGTCTACCAAAGATCTCTGATGTGCCAGGAGCCTGCCGGGGATGTCCTGGCCAGGGGAGAGCACCAGGACTCAGCCCACAGTGCTCCTGCAGAGAACAGGATCCGGGCCGTGGCCTCGGGCAGGTTTCTGCACCATGGACCAGCACAAGCTCATGGCATGCAGAGAAGCAGCTCCATCCCTGCTCATGCAAGAGGAGCTTTGGGGTTTCCAAGAGCAGAGGAGAGCAGATAACCCCGCAGGGTGACAGGTCTCAGCTCCCCAGGGCTCGAGCAGCCCCAGGTTTTACCAGGGATGGGTTTTGCCGTTACCCAGATGCAGGAGCACTGCACCGCGGCCTTGGCCTTCTCCATCTTCTCGGTCACTTGGGCCTTGTGCTCCATCTGGGATTTGGCAGCATCCAGCTCGGTGCCTGGGGAGGGAGAGAAGCAGCAGGGAAGGACCCTGGGGGCTGCACCCACATCCCACCCCCCTGCACCCCACCAAGTACTCACCTCCCAGCGAGTCCTGTGGGTGCAGGGGTGGGAAGTCCTCGGTGAGCTCATACCTGTCTTGCTGCAAGGACATTCATCGTCACCCTCTGAGCTTCTGGCACCTCCTCTCCCACCCATGGGGGTGTTGGGACCGCTGCCACCCGCCCGCAGCCCTGCCCACACCGGGACCTCCAGCTCACCGCTCGCAGATGCTTCTCACTCGCTTCCTTGAGCCAGCGCCGGTCGATGTGGACCTTCTGGGCGGCCAGGGAGTGGTACCTGAACTCTCTCTCCACGAGGAACTGGTTTTCAATCTTAGCCATGTCTTTCTGGAATAGATCAGAGAAGGGAGAAGTGACTACCAAAGCTGGAATGGACCTTTGTGAGCCAGTGGAGCTTCTGGGATGGTCAGTGTCAAAAATGACCCCCCTCCTATGGGGTCCCACAGGTTGGGAAGGAAACTAGGCAAGGAGGGCTGGAGGATGGAGCACGCAGCCTTCACCATGGCTGGTGCTTTCAACAGGCTGTTCCCAGCCCAAGGGCTGCCTGGCCCAAGAGTGAGACCCAGGAGGAGCTATGGAGGCATCTGGGTGGGCAAGCAGACTCACCAGCCTGGCCCATGGTGCTGTCTGTGGGCTCTGAAGGGTGGAAGGGGGCCCCAAGATGCCCTGGACCATCTTACCTTGACTATATCAGCAGCTTTGACAGCGTCCAAGGCCATGATCTCCACATCTTCCAGCTCCTCATGGTATAGCTTGGCCATCCCACATAGGAGGTCCAGGTGCAGAGGCAGGTGGATCAGCTCCTGGGACACAGGGAACCACATGTCACCCCAGGGGTCCCCTGCGCTGTGACGGGCGATGGAGGGGAGCAGGAGGACCTCAATGATCCAGGAGGACATCCCACTGGTGCAGTCCCTTGGGCACCTCATTGCCTTTGCAGGGGGAGGGGGTGGAACGATGGCAGGTTGAGGAGAAGCTCACCTCCCTCAGGGCATCCCGCACCACCAGGTACAGGGTGGTCACCTTCTGTCCAGCGTGGACCTTCGTGATCATCTTCTCAATGTTGTTCTCCAGCTGGCGAATTGTCTGGGGCAGAGACGAGAGGGGTGGACATGGACTGATCCTGTGTGCCAAACCTGGCACCCACCGGAGGGGTGCAGGGGTTGGGTTAAAGCCCCTCATGGGTGCTGCCACCCTGGGGAGGGGTCCTGGGTACCTGCACCTGCACCCAGAGCTGCTTGTCTTCCACCTCAGCATCCTGCAGCTGCTGCAGCCGCTGCTGCAGCTCGTCCCGCGATCGGCCCCCCCGAAAAAAAGCCGCAGCTGGTACAGCAGCAGGTTGCACTTCTTCACCTGGTCATAGAACTCAGCCTGGAGCTTCTCCTGGGCCACCTGGATGGACATGCGAGAGTTCACCAGGATGGAGGGCAGGGCTCGCTGGGCACCCATGGGAGAAAGGGTCCTGGCCTGGAAAACTCCTCCCAAGGTGGAGGTGGGGACGCTGGGATGTTGCTCCAGGACATTGTCCCTCTCTCTGCAGGACAGGGTCTGGCAGAGCTTTGCTCCAGGGGGCTGGTTGGGGTAAGGCAGAGGTGGGCACGTGCTGATGGCAGTGGTGGGTCGGGCTCAGGGACTCTGCATAGTGCAGACCTGGGGCTGGAGATCAATAAAATCCATCAGTGTCCCAGCGTGGGGAGTGACGGCACCGCTCTGTCCCTGCAAGAGGCCCCCAGGCAAAGGCAGCTCCATGGGACCAGCATCTCCATGGGCTTAGAACCAGGTCAGGACCTTGGGACAGGCACTGAAGGACAGAGACAGCATCACAGAACCACAGACTGGTGGGGTTGGAAGGGACCTCAGGAGATCATC